ATCGAGATGTGAGCCTTGCTGGGATTTTTGGAGAATCATTTCAGTGTCTGAGACTTCAATGTGTTTGATTTCAGAAGAATTAAGAGTTAGACAACTACAAATGAGTTCGAATACCTTTTACAAGCAATTCGAGGTTTTTGATGATAAAACTTTACATTTCTCCTCGTTTGCACTCTAAGGTTAAAGTTGAGCCTTCAAAGATGTGTTTAGAACTCCCTATTGGTCGACTTTGTGATTGGTTGAAAACTGCATCGACTTTTGTATGATCCTTGACGCGGGGAAAAGGTATAAATGGAGAAGACAATTGTGGCAATCAGATTGATTGGAAGGTAAAAACGTTACTGGAGACGGAAGAGAGAAAAGCACCTATGAATCTCATTTTCGAGTGAATCTACCGTAGTTTCTTTGTCTTCTCATGAAGCTTTGAATGAGAGAAGAAGAAAAATCCATGGAAGATCTTATATAGAGAAAAATGAAAGAAGAGGATAGTAAGTGCTGAAGGCAGAAACGAACCTTCAACACATAGAAGTTACTGAAGAGATCGCACCGGTTGAGAATCTTTGTTACTTCTCCTCTATTTGCGATATCCTTTGTTTGAATTTCTTTCTCTGTCACTTGTGTGGGTTCCCCATGGAAATTAAATGACAAATAGAAGTTACAGAAGAGATCGAGAACTTGAGAAGGCGAATGAAGGTTATGGCGTTTCATCTTTTAAGCAGAGAAAGCGTAAGGTTTTCATTAAACTTCCAAGGGACAGGTGTCGTCTCCTTCTTGCTGATGTGGCGTAATATGGAGAGAACCCTCCTACTTTTATATAGTAGAAGTAGGGAATTCCGGGGATGTCTTTTGACACTAGGGAAGCTACATCGAGAAGGGTCGCAGTTAATCAAAATGGAACAGAGCAAGAAGCGAGTAGAGGAACGGATTGGAGTAAAACCTTGCATTGCAGATTGCTTGGAGGGACTCTCTTCTTTATAACATGCATCAATCAGAGTAAGCAAACAGAACCAGCTTAGTTATTATTGACTTACAAAATCATAATCTTTGTGCTTTTAAATCCTGGAGGTACCATCTTAAATCTTCATTATTTTCGGCACTTTCATGTCTTATCATGAAACCAAGGTACTGAGATCATCGTCTTTATTCAAATGTTTGGTAATTTGTTTAGAATAAGTCTTATGTTCTTGTATTACTGATGTATAGTTCTGGAGATCTTAACGCGCTACAGTGCCTCGTGATTGATCAGCCAAACATCCCGAAAGGCGAAGGTAAACACATTGACAAAAAACGCGTATTCTTCTTCGATTGTTTTGTTTTGCGTTATGAACAAATGAAAAATTGTAAAGGTATGTGTTTGATTTAAGATTTCTCTATGATATTCTCTTGTGCAGTGCAACTCATCTTCGATATCATATTCGCTGAGGAGATGAAATGATGTAAAGAGGAACCCTTTTTGTTCTATAATGGTTATAAGTTTTGGTGAAATGAAAACAGCGAGGAGTGTAAGAAAAACGGCAAGCATTTTACTTTTCATTTCAAATCAATTTCCTTTGTTTTTTTCTTTGATATTTTTGTTAAAAGCATCTACATTTTTCATAATTAGGGAAGAACAAGTGTGATTAATGTTTTACACATTCGAGTGTATAGCCAACTTAAAACAAATTCAATGTCAGTTTTGTATTTAGAATAAGTTTAAGTTGAAATGTTCTTCCTCATTTTTCTACGCATTTACACATATGTTTTTACTGTAACAGAGAGGAAGAATCTGTGTTCCTTTCCTTACATTCTCTGACTTTTAATGTATAACACTCTCTTACACTGATATACTTGCAGTGATAGCCAAGTTTGCCGATCACATTTTCAATCCAAGGAAAATATTGACGAAAATCTTCTTTCACTTAAGAATGGCAGTGAGGTAAGTTGAAATGTTCTTCCTCATTTTTCTAGGCATTTGCACATATGTTTTCACTGTAATAGGGAGGAAGAATTAGTGTTCCTTTGCTTACATTCTCTGACTTGTACAATTCTTTAGTAAATTTTGAGAAAATCATCTCCTATCAATACACTTATAATAGTCTGAGCTGTCTACTTGTAACTAAACTTATCATATGAAATATTTTTTTAGGGTATAAGTAATGTCAGGAAATGTTGGCAAAATCGCTTGGAAAAAATTTTGGGGCCAAATTGATGATTGTTGACTCTCTTTTGTTGCCGGGGGTAATCTTCTTGTTTCTCTTATCTTATCTTTTTCTATGTCGAATGGATTAGAATTTGCTTCATCTTCGTGGATTTTGATTGATCTCATGAATGCTACTATGTGTGTTCGATTGATAAGCCAATTCGTATTGTATGGTCTTGGTGTTTTGGTAAACAAGTTGCATGAGTGGGTTTAAGCTCATGACAAAACGCTACATTTTTCATTCTTTGTCTGGTAATTGTGTTCTGTCTTGAAATTAATCTACTTTCTAATGTTTTGGGCTACTTTGTGGATTTAAGTGAAGCTGTGGCTGATGCTGATAAGTCAAAGACAGTAAAGAATTGAGCTTCCAAGGCTCCATAAACTCATACAGTTCCACTTTCTGTTTTGCTCAAGCGTGAATCGGCAAATGAGAAGATAGACAACCCTCAACCTGGACATGGACGGGCAAATCAAAGCAACAAAGGAGATGATTTTACTCTTGTTAAAACAAAGTGCCTAAGGGTCATCGGAGATGGGGGTATTTATTTTCTTTCCTCTCTTTCAGTTTTTTTCTTGGAAGTTAATAGGAGACTTTGCACACCGTGGTCATATCAGTTTATGAGAAAGAGAATGGATATCTTGAGATCTAAATTGTTTCTGCAATTTGTTGATATTGAGAACAAAGTTCTTACCCTTGATGGTGTCTTCAAGCGTTTTACAAGAAATACATGAAAAACACCTGAAATTAGGAATAAGTGTACATAACTACAAGTGCGGGAAAGAGCCATACGATGTTTGAATTCTAGGCGGGATTGTGTACAACTACTTAAGGGTCATTTTAGAAGTTTCAGATCAAGTAGGTGTAAGATAAGGTGTTACATTTGTTCACAACAATATACAAAAACCTTAGAGGGATTAATGATCTCCTCTAAACTAATAATAGCAACAATAATGGGATTAGTTGGCCAAACGGAGGAAACAATTCTGAGGTAAGTTTCTCTGTCTCTTTGCTTTCTATTTTCGCTAAATTTTCTGGCATATATATATTAGACATACCCATACAATAGTCTACAGTATTTTATTCAAGATGCTGTTTTATGCTTAAACATTCCATATGAAGCAAAAACCTCTATGGCTTCAACTTGTATGATTGCTTTTGCAATAGCCATATGTTGATTAAGCAAAAAATGCTTCTGCTTTGTTGCTTTGCAGGTCAGGCTTGAAGTAGTGGGCAAAATTGAAAAATGCAACATTCATTTGAGGGACATACGTTGTTAAAATCTCTGAAATTTCGGACCAAGAATAGCTACGGTGGTGAGTTTATTTCAAAAACTCCACTTTAAGGAAAAGCAACCAGAGAAACAAAATAATAATGCACTAAAGAAGATGGAATTACGTCAACCTGTTCATGTGTCTGGTAATCAAAATTTGTCTATTTTTCTCGCTTTTCGATAGTCCACGGGATCACGTGGATCCTATGACTTTCTGATGCAATTAGTTCGTGTTGGGATTTGAGATTAGAGGAATTGGAAAAGTGTCATGACCATGTTCCTTTATGCTGAAAAATCGAGTAGAAATGAAAAATCTCCGCTCCCATGCTCTTCAACTGAAAATGACTTATCCTCTTCTATTTATGATTTTGTGTAGCTTGCATCGGAAATTCTTTAGTAACATCGATTAGGAGCATAAGTTTTCAGAAAGAATTATATTGTATGCATGTTCAATAACATCTGAAATTTTCTATTTTTGAGTTTTGATAAACGCATCATGTTCTACTGTGGTATGCATGGATTTCTTGAAAGCTGGAAAAAAAAACCTAAACAATTTGACTTCCTAAGTTGATGAATGAATAAGTAGACCATGAGAAAGAGATCGGTAAATGCTCAAAAGATGCTGAAGAACACTAATATATGTTGGGTTACTTAGAGACATGCCGCAAGGTGAGTGAGAGCTTTGTGACTGAAGCTGAGGCTATCAATTCTTACAGTTCAAAACGCTGCAAGTTTGAAGCATAGGGCCACAACTGGAGAAGAAAGTCAAGAATACCAAAGACCACACAAAAACAAGAATGGACATGAAAGATGAAAAGGAAGAAGAGGAAACAGAGGCAGCAACGACCAGTCATTTCATTTCATGACCTAAGCATATGATTGATGTCGTCA